TTCTGAAACGCTCCTCCTCTCAGAGGCGATTTGGGGCAGGCTGCTCTGGGGTCTCTGCCAGACTCCTCCTGGTACCCTGGGAGGCTGGTGTGTCCTTGTGGGGCTGCTGGAGGGTTGGCGGGATGATCAGATGGTGCTTCCCACAAAGGCGCCCGCAGGGCCAGCTGCTGTGATGTTTGTTGTCAGGGCTGGGAGCCTGGGGAGTGAAGTTTGTTGTCAGTGGGAACAAGTCACCACAGTGGTCTGAGTGTCGGAGGAGGGCACAGGCTTATTTTTAGGGATGTGGCGTCACACGGAAGAAATGTGTACACTTGAAGCATGGGAAGGCTGAAATGCCAAACAGTTCTCTTGGCTAAATTTAGCAGAAGTGTTCTTTATTTAAGAACGGAGTTAACAAGCATGTAACACAAAAGACTTACGAGAGCAGGCTGCCGTGTGTGCCCACCATGGCGTGCTGCTGGGGCCACTCCCAGGGACCCTGCACTCTGCCCCAGCCACCTACGCTGCAGAAGCAATGGCAGGGGCTGCGACTGCCCAGGGTCTTAAAGATTCAGCTGCGTTAGCCCTGCCTGACCCTGACTCAATGAGGGAGGCCACCACTCCGCACTCTTTCGGCAGTGCCTGAGATGAAATCCAAATCACGAAGGAGAATTCCCACTCTCCTGGGCTTTTGATAGAAAGTATGCTTTTCAGTGCCCTGTTCCAAGAAACACAGGATTGAAGAGGACCTTTCAGAAGCTGAGCAGCAATTCTAGCTATTCCAGATGCACAGGCAGAGATTTCTGGGCCTGATTCCAGGAGTAGGACAGGGTGGGCACAGGGCTTTGTGCGAAGTCCCTCAGCCATGGGTGAGTGACAGCTGGGTGGATTCTCAGGCCTAGACGGCTGAGGCCAAGGATTCTAGACTCTCATGTCAGGACTCCAGGCTCTGACTCTGACTGGCATCAGCCGGAAACATGCTCGAAAGGCAGGGTGGGTCTCAGGCCCCACACAGACCCACTGGGCCAGAGCCTGCAAGTCCAAGTCCCAGGAGCTCCTGAGTGGCCTCGTGGAAGCCTGAGCCCTGCCTGGGCTAGCAGAATCCCCAGCCTCACACCAGCCTGGTTGCTGCAGCTCCCATCCTCTGCCTGAGCTGTTCCGTTGCCTTCGGTGGTTCTTGTTCTGTATTCCACACAATGGGAACCCCAGCTCCACCCATCAGCACAGAAGGGATGTGATGGGATGAAGGGCAGGGCAGGGTGGTTGGGCCCCAGCACATGGCTCGGGGAACCCCCCACGTTTGGTGATCCTGAGCCTTCAATCTGGTGTTGCTCGAGAACCATGGCTTACAGGGAACGTGGCTGGGAAAAAGGAGAGGAGCAGCTGTGGAGTGCAAGGGCCTCAGCTGCTGCCCCTGGATACACTGTGGGATGGAACCCTTTACTCAGTGAAGATCCAAGGACTAAAGTGGAAATGTTCTTCCCCCAGGCTTAAAAGCCAGTCTTGGCAGGAGGAGGACGCAGACAGAAAGGCCTCGAATGCAGAGGCTGAACTCTGGTCAGCGCACCTGCTTCAGGATCTGACCGCGGCAGGTGAGACCCCAAAGAGAGGCCCAGACCATGGCCTGTGTGGCTCCTCGGGCTCCAGGTTTGGATGAGACACAGCTGCTCAGCAGCATCCAGGGCTGTCCCAGAGCCCTTATCCTCCCAGGGGCTCCCACACCCACATTTCTGCTGATTCCCTCACACACATAGCCAAATCTGTAGCTTTTGTGGAGACTAAATTTTTTCTTGAATTTAATTAAATTTGAAAACAATAAACAATAATTATTGCACACATAACACCAGGGCAGACTTTGGCTCTGTGCAAGCAGGAAACACAACTAAAAGCGAATCTGGGAAGCAAGTGGGCACTGATGGGATGAAGCATGAGCTCCGGGCAGGAGAAACCCCGTTCAGTTTGGCTCCAGGCAGCTCCGCACTCACCGATGGGTGGACCTGGCCGTGGGCAGTGCGTGTCCACCCTGTGGCTGCCTGGGACCTGACCTGGCACTTGCAGCCTCTGGAAAGCCCTGGGCTATGTGCTATCGCTTCATCTTGGAAACGAGTCCCTAAACCAACCAAGTATTCAAAGTATTCTAAGAGTAGAAACTGCAACAGGAAGAAAAATTATTCATTTTGGTTTTGTGCCATCCTTTTCTTTGCTTTCTCACTTTAAAATATTTAGACTTTCTAATCCCTTAGCAGTGAATATGCATTTATAATATTCATAGAATCTCTGAAATGTTTAATTAAGAAGAAAAATAATTCTTCAGACTAAACAGCAAAGCATGAGGGGTAAGAGAGCTCAGGCAGGCAGGGTTTAGCTGCAGGCCTTTCTCAAGGACCAATGGCCCTGGAAGAGCTTTCCACATGTCCCTGGGATGCTTCCCAGAGTGTGCCCAGAGAGAGACAGGAGATGAGGAGCTTTCGCATGACTTCTGTGAGCTGACATTGCCAGAGTAGGTGGTGGCTGTCACTGCCTTCCAGATCCACGTCACTCTTTATAACCCGGGCCAGGGCTCAGAATAGAGGTTCCCAGGGAATGCATATTCATGGAGTGGAAGAATAAATGAAGGAGCATCAGGCCCAGGCCTTCTGAAGGAGCCTGCACATACGGGACTCTGGGTGACGCTGCTGGGGTCTTGTTCTCTGCTCTTCACCAGCACTCTGTCCTAATGTCTCCCAGGCATGGCTGCTGGACAGGTGCAGATGAAGATGCAGACTCAGAGGTGAGGCCGCCAACACACCGGGGATCCCACCTGGACCTTGGAATCCCACCCAGGCTATAGAAGTCCCCCAGATGCCTGGCCACTCCTTTTCCAATGGAAGCCTGGGGCAGATGGGATTGTCACTGCCGTGATTTCACACACCAGAGCCAGTTGTTAGCCATGGTGTGTGATGACAGAGGCCACAATGTTCCCCTTCTCCCTGGCTGGGCTGGTGCAGCTATGCACCTGGGGACCCTCCCAGAGAAGGACCTTCCTCAAGGGCTCCATGCATGACGAAGCTGGGACCCCAACACTCAACTCAGTCTTCTCTCAACTCAACTGGATGCCATGGGGGAGAGCGCATCTTAGACGGTCCACAGGTCAATGTAGTTCCCAGCCAGGTGGCTCCTGCAGGTGCCTTCGACCCATGCAGGGAGGGCAGTGGGGCCAGGAGCTGCCCCAACCAGATGGCAACAAGCAGACTGCATGGGAATCAGATGGACGGGGGCCTGGCTGTGACTTCTCTTGATTGGGGAGCACACCTCACCAATGACCTAAGCCTCAGCTTCTCCATCCACGCAGTGGGTTGTTTTCAAGCCTAACTGAAGTAATGTGATAACAGCGGGCTCACAGTAACACCCGCCAACGTCATCTACCACCACCATCACCCTTATCCACTGGCCACGTGACATGGTTTGCCTAAGTCCTCAGCCAAATCTCATCCTGAATTGTAGCTCTGATAATTCTGATGTGTGGTGGGAGGGGTTTCCCTTTTTGCTTGGCTCTCATTCTCTCTCTTGTCTGCTGCCATGTAATACATGGCTTTTCCTTCTGCCATGATTATGAGGCCTCCCTAGCCATGTGGAACTGAGAGTCTACCAAACCTCTTTTTCTTTATAAGCTACCCAGTCTTGGGTACATCTTTATCAGCAGTGTGAAAACGAACTAATATACCATGGGTTAGGAGTTTTATCTTCCAATTGTTGGGATATTGGCTACTCACTTACTTCCCATTTTAGTATACGTGCTACGGAAGCCAGAACTACTCACTGCCTTTCCTAGGGTTTAACAATCTGGTGGAGAAAGAACTGGCTTAGAGTTGTGAATCTTAGAGAAGTGAGCAAAGGAAGCCTCTGTGAAAAAGAAGTCAGGCTCATGCCCCCAAGAGGCAGCCAGGTAGCATCGCTGTCCCCTTGGGGACCAAGAGGGCGGAAGCCACACCTCCAGGAGGTGCAGGCGGAGCAGGGGCAGGGCAGGAGGTGATTCACCAGGGAGCTGATGGTTTTGCTGGGAATTCTGCGGGCTTGTAGGAGAACCTCTGCACGTGGGGAGTGCGATACTTCCCGGGGGCTCCTTAGAGCAGCCTCCAACGCATCCCCGGCCCCTGTCTCGCCCTGTGCAGGGACCACGCTCTGCACACACCTCTGGCTGAAGGTTTGTACGGCGCCTGCCACCCACACGGTGCTGCCAGGAATGCGGGGGAGGATGGTGGTCTGTCTGGTGATAAAACAAACCACAGGTGGACGTTGCAGTGGAATGAAGCCTCAGGAGGAGCAGCCACCCGAGGTGGGGCTGGGGAAGTTTGCGCGGATGGACTGGAGCAGAGCTTAAGGCTGCACATCCCACACTCAGGAAAAACATCCTCATTACTGCAAGATCACAGCCCTGCAAAAGGGTTCACAGTGAACATCATACTGAGAGCCCCAGAACAGTGTGGCAAGTTTGTGCAGCCCTGCTGGGGGTGTCCCCAACTCATTGTGGGCCCCCGGCTCCCAGATGCCTCTTGGCCGAGGACAAACCAGGTCTCTCAGCTTGAAAAGACACCCTAGCTGTGGTCACATCTCCTGCTGTAGGCTCAGGGCTCAAGAAACCAGGGCACTGGCTGCTCAGTGTCCCAGAATGTGGCAAAATCTTAAATGGGACAAGAAATCCAAATACAGAAAGGACGCGCTCTCCAGGACCCATCTGAAAAGCTACTTTCAGGAAGGTGGGACCACTCTTAGGTTCTCTTCACCATCTTCCAGACGCGCAGACAGCAGATCAAGAAAACCTGCCTTTCCCTGCCTGCAAAACGACGAACAACCCAACAATTCCAAGTGCTGACAGCAGAACGGAAACTGGGACATTGCTTAATTTGGAAAATGGAAGTAGTGTTGGTACTCAGAGGATTATTTAGGGGAAACATCTGAATAATTCTCGCAGGGTGGGAGGGGCTGCTGATGTAGTGTTAGGATGTGGAGCCCGACCACCGCAGCACCACACGGGAGCCTACCTTGCTCTCATCCTCCGGGTCGCTGTAGCCACAGGCATCTATGAAATCTGGGAAAGTCTCCGACCACCCATCACTCGTACAGTTTTTGCTTATGTTTCCTGGAAAGTGAAGTTCAGATATTTTATCTGCAAGTCCATGAAAACTGGCCTCAGAAGGCACCATTTGGTCCATGCTGAGCCTATGCTGTCTTAAAATGCTTCCCATGCCCAGGGGTCAGCTAGGAGACATGGCTGCCCCTCGAAAAACCTTCCTTGGCCTCCTTGTCCACGTGACCTGGCCAGTAGGCCACCTCTCAGGGGCCTGAGATGTGAGTGAATGCACTGTGTCATAAATCATCATTACTACAGCGGTAAGTGTAGCTCTTTTGGGTCAGAATGAAAATTCTTAATAGATTCTTACATTTTGCCACCATAAGTGATATTTGCAGCCAAGCCCTGACCATCCTGGAGCCAGGTGCCTCACCTGCCCCAGGTCCTGACAGCACCCACCCTCCTCCCCGCTAGGCCCTCACCACCAACCCTGACCTGGTAGGGCAGGCTTCGCTTGGCCACTGGTATTGGAAGGAAGGGTGGAGAAATGACAGTTTAATCACATGAAACCAAGGCAGTTATGCCCTTACAATCTCATCGTTTGCTCCTAAAGAACTAAAATCATATGTAAGCTCAGAAATTCAATGTTCCTTGTATTTGTGGGTGTCCCTAGCAGATGGGGCCACACGGAACAGTGATATAGCTCTCAAGGGTGTCCGAGGCATAAGAATGAAACCAGGCACTGAACCCCATGCCAGCCTTGCCCCGAGCATGGCTGTACGGCCTCAGGATCACCCCACCGCAGAGCCCATGAGGCCGGACCCCTCCATGCACACCTGAGCCTGGTGTGGCCAGAGCGGGGCACCTATCTCCCTGCCTGGGTGACTGGAAGGGCCTGGGGCTTTGGAGTTAGCCAATATATTCACTCTCATGACTTTTTAATTTCAAGACAACCTTGCAAGACAGACTTGGTGGGCACTGCTGCTCCCATTTTACAGAAGAGGCAAACAAAGCTTTGAAGACTTAGTAGTCTGAGTCGGGTACTTGCGTGATTCTTGTCATGTAGTGGGGAGAGGCAGAGAGAGGGCCCGGCCAGGCCCTGACTCTACCAGGGAGGAGTGGGTGGGAGGCTGGTCTCAGCAAGACCACAGGGCTGGCCCTACCCATTGGCACCCTGACACTGTCACCAACTGGGGGCTCTGAGTACAAGACCCACACCTCACACAGCAAGCTCCAGGGGGTTCTGGGGGCTGCTTAGCTGCAGAGACCCCCATACACGGTAGAGGCAAAACAGAGCCCTAAAGGGGGCAATACTCCTATAGGTCTGGTCCTACTGCCCCAATTTACGGACAAGGAGACAGGCCCACAAACACAAATGATGTGCCCACTACAGACTCAGGAATAGCACTTGTAGTGGTTGTTACAATGATAGTAGTCATAGTGGCAGCTGTGACTCACCGAGCTCTCAGCAACGCTGGGCTCTGTGCTTGCAACAGCCCAGTTAATCCCGACAACCACAGGAGGCAGCTTTCTAATTCATCTCAGAGACGAGATGGCCGAGGCGGAGGGAAGTTGTGCCACTTGCCCAAAGTCACACTGCTGGTGAGCGATGGGCCAAGTGCCACACCCGACAGCCTGGATCCTGTACCCGATAGCACCTGCAGGTCCTATCCTGAGCCGGGAGCCAGGACTTGGGTGGGAGCTAAGCCTGTCACTCATCCTTTGCAAGGTGCAGCCCTCTTTCCTTCCCACAGGAGATCAGTGTTTACCAATCCAAAGAAGATGCTTAAATAAAACTCAAAAAACTCAGCCAGTAAGTCATTCCATGAGGTGCAGATTCTCTCACAGGTTCTTCATCCTTTCTGACTACTCACTGCTGAGACACATGGGGTAGATGTGGAAGGATATGAAATGCCTGAGATGGCAGCCTGCAGAGAGATCAGGGAGGTGCAGAGAGGCCTGGGAGGGGCAGAGAGGCCAGGAAGATGCAAAGAAAGGTTGGGGGTGGGGGGGCGCCACACTCTCACCCACTTGCCAGACAAAGAATACTTGAAGGCCTCCCTTAGGGCCTCAGTGCTTCTCAGCGACTATTCCAAGCTGCATGAGCCTACATCATCCTCCACTCAGGGCTGCGCTGATGCCCCTTGAAAGACGCAGAACTGCACCTGGACCTACATCTGTGCTGAGCTGCTGCCCTGGCTCTGGCTACAACAGCACCATGCAGAACTGGCAGGTGGGCACCAGGAGCAACTGGAAACACGGAGAGCAAGTCAAGGGAGAAAAGCCAGCACAATAGCTGTCAGAGCTGCCTCCTGGGCGCTGAGCATGGGCGTGAGCAAGAGCTGCTCATGGAAGGCTGTCATGAGGTGGTGAGTCCTTGTGCCTCTCGCCCCAGCTCTCCGCTTCCTTTGTTCCCCTCTATGCAGACAGTTGGCTCATTGCCTCCTGGAGGGGATGGGGACAGGAAATGCCAGAAGCACCTAATCCTCACAGTTTTCCCAAGCACCAGCAGTGAAGTCCAGCCCCGGTGGGAGAGGGGTAAAGTCTAGCTTGGGTGGGGAGAGGGCTTGCATCCAAGGTTCTAACTGCAGGGCAGGAGTTTGCATTCTGGTGTTTGCCAATGTGGAAACCACCAGGTTGCTGGGTGCTTTCTGGAAGCCTCAGAACCATGCCATTGACTAGGAAAAGCTGGAGTCCAGGCCAATTCACTCCACATCTCTGGGAGAATGGATGTAGCCCAAGCTGATTACTAGAAACGCTACTGACCAGAGGGGCAGTTCTTAAAGTTCAGGTCCTCCAAAGTGACATAGGTTCTAACTTGGGGGGTGGCCAATGATGCTGACACAAGCATGGTCCCCACCTTTAGGCTGCTCTGCTGGCAGCTCGGGGTGAGGAAGTAAAAATCTTCCTGTCAGAATCTCCTTTTCCTCTGTCCCAATCTCTGTTCTAATACTCTGCTTTAACATGTCAACATTATTACTTCCCAGCGTCTTTACCCTTTAACCTCTGTCCAAGATAAAAAGCAAATTCTCCATAGCACTCCAAAGTCTTATGCTTTCTGTTTCCAGATGTTTCTTATGTTTTCTATTTTTCTAAATAGATTTCTTTACATTATGAAATTCTGAATCACTCACAAAAATAATCAAACCCTTCTGTGAGGATTCAGCCAAGAGATATTTGCAGTACCGCATATGAAGCATGCCCTGGACACAGAGAAGGAGCCTGGAACCTCAGAGAAACTGCAAATTCCAGGCAGTATCAAACCTGTGAGGCAGCAAGGAGGTTGGGGGAGTGGGTTCAGTAAACTAGGTGCATCCTGGGGCCTCTCCCCTGAGCATGGAAGCTCTGGGTGCCACACTTTCCCACTTCCCAGAACCTTCCAGAGCATGTTCTCTGGGGTTCACAGACCAACTCAGCAGGAGGAGGGGAGCCTCCTTTATGACCCCCTTGCCTTCCCTCCCCTCTCATGTACTTTTCCCATGCTTTGGTTTCCATTTGGCTCCTGTGTCCCCTGGTTCTTTCCCTGCAGTTGCCCTGCTCTCTGGGGTTTGGCTGAAGGTAGGTAATGCCCTCCTGCTCCCCAAGATGGGCACTCACCCCAATGTACCACAGCTGTTCCCTGACCCCCAGGGTAGCAGGAGATGCCTGAAGAAAAGTGATGTTCCTGCTTCGTGGATGGAAAATATGGACACTCAGATGCAAACACCCTGGGGGAGCTAAGGAACTCAACCCACAGACAGTACCTGCTTTGCTGTAAAAATTGCTGAAGACTTTTGGGCAGGGCACCGTGACTGTCTCTCCCACATTGGCAGGCCGCCAGCATGTGATGTTGTCCCAGACGCCACTGCAGGCTAGAAAGGAGAGAAGCAGAATGAGGCAGGTGCAAGGTGACAGAATTGTCACAGATGGAAAAGCCATTAATGAGATAACTGCCTCACAAACTCCTTTTCTGTGAAACACACACCAACACAATTATTGAGACTATAGTTAGCTTGTGGGTTCATCTCAATTAGCTTTGGAGGAATAATCACATGGTGACAGAAAGCATTTGAGTAATTCAATGTATACTATGTACTTTCTGAATTTTAAGACAATATATACTACATACTTTCTGAATTTTTAATATTTCTTGTGATCAGGATTTCCCAGTGTAATGAAATGGGCACCACTGGGTATTAGCGTAAGTCTTGGAGACTTGGGCCCGTGGGGGAGGAAGACTCCCGGGGAAAGTATGCTTGTGCTTCTGGGGAATCTGACATCACTGATTATTTGCAAATTGAGTATTTGATAAGAGTTTGGTCCTCTCAAGATGCCTTATTAGCAACAAAATCTTAGGTTACCTTCATGGAGTTATCAAATAATTTGCATAATGCATAGCTTAAACATTTTTAGACCTCTTATTTGGTCTTAACCACTTGGTGAAGGTAAGTCATAAAAATATTGCATTTTCTTCCAGATGCAACGCACTAAGGTTCGAATCATTTAATGATTTTTCAGTATTGCACAACAGTGACAGAATCCATATTCAAACCCAGGACTTTTTCTTACATATCCATGGTATTTATACTATATTTGAAACCTCTAAAATTTTATCTTTTACTTAAACCTCGATATTGGAAAAGCAATGTGCTAGCCTAGGTAAAAACCAGCAAACAAACTCTCAGACACATGCCACCCAGGCCTGTGCAATAACTGCAGAAATACCCTCATGGAGAACACACAGCTTTGGTGTGAACACAGAAGTGTTTTACTTTCAAGAATATAGAAACGTCTCTGAAAAGCTGGGCATGAGCTAAGTTTTGCAGATGAAAATACTTTCTAAATAAAATAAAATTACACATCAATACTTAATAGATCCATAAATTCATATTACATTAATGTTAACATATTTAAAGAAAATGTTGGTTTTCTTTTCAAACGTTCAAAACAAGTGAACATTTTTAAGGCATCACTAGAAACTCCAGATGTGCCTTGGGCTCAACAGGCATCAGCCCCTGTGTAAGGGTGCTTAGAGTCTAAGTTGTAGAGTTATTCAAGTGCTAAGCTCGTAAACCAAGCACCTCTAACGCTGGTGTATAGGGAAGGTGGTCGAGAGGTATCAGGATAGGGTTCCCAGCAGAGAGCGAACAAGGTGGAGAGGAAAGTGAAGATGTCTAGGCCTCCAGTGAAGACTCTGCATATGATCAGCAAAGTTTTGTCCCTCTCCTACAAAACAGCAAGCTCTGACAGTTTCGTGGCTGGTTATCTTGAAGGTTCAACTCTTCACCACAAAATGACAAATTTCTGCCTTGATGATAGTAATAATTATATAATATTGTTATTTTAAAATAATGGGCTGGGTGCGGTGACTCATGTTTGTAATCCCAACACTTTGGCAGGTCAAGGCAGGAGGATCCCTTGAGCCCAAGACTTTGAGTCCAGCCTGGGCAACACAGTGAGAACCTGTCTCTATAGAAAACACTTAAAGATTAGCTGGAGGGTAGCAGCGCAGGCCTGCAGTTCCAGCTACCCAGGAGGCTGAAGTGGGAGGACCACTTGAGCCTGGAGGTCAAGGTTGCCTTGAGTCTAGATCATGCCACTGCATTCCAGCCTGGGCCACAGAGTGAGACCTTGTCTCATAATAAATAAATAATAAAGAAGATAATGTATAATAAGATAACTAATACATAAATTATAATGCAATAATTATATGTTGTATACGACTAATTGCTGCTTTAAATTTTAACAGAAATACTAAATTCACACCACAACAGTAGGATTTGATTCAAGTGTCTAGAACTTATCATCTGATTCCTTCAATGGCTAGGTAAAGTCTTCCCTTCATTTGCTCCTCTATTGAACCGCACGTGAGGGAGCAGAGCTAGAAGCTGTGAGGATGTGAGTACGTGGACTCGAGGGCGTCAGGACGCCGAGGCTGAGGGCGCAGCCGGAAGCGCAGCCGGAACTACAACCACAGCACTGGGGCGCATGCGTGGTGCCATCGCAACCTCAGGGCAAGAGCCCCCAGGGGCGGGGAACGCGGGAGCTTCTCCGTCTGCTTCGCAAACCCACGGAAAGGACAGCCAAGAATTTGAAAGGGCATCTCCAGGAGATGTCCCTACAGCGTTGCAGACAGAAACAACTGTGTTAAATAGCCAGGCAGAGGAGGGGGAGAAGCAAGAGAGAGGCCATGGTGCCCTCCCCGCTCACTGGCAAGGGCTGAGGACGCAGCAGGGAACCATGTTCAGGTGGAGTCCCGGGCTCTAAGGCTGCAGCCTCCTGAAGGGCGGGCCACGGCACCTACGTGGGACCAGACCTGGCCAAGAACGCCGACTGGGAGGGGTAGGGGCTTACGGCGCCAATGTGGGACCGGATCCCGACAGTAAGGAGGAGGCTCACGTGGCCTACCTGGGACTGACCTGACTGTGAGGGGGAGGTTCATGGCGCCTACCTGGGACCAGATCCAACTGTGAGGAGAAGGCTCATGGCGCCTACCTGGGACCAGATCCCAACTGTGAGGAGGAGGCTCATGGAGCCTACCTGGGACCAGATCCCAACTGTGAGGAGAAGCCTCATGGCGCCTACCTGGGACCAGATCCCAACTGTGAGGAGGAAGCTCATGGTGCCTACCTGGGACCAGATCCCAACTGTGAGGAGGAAGCTCATGGCGCCTACCTGGGACCAGATCCAACTGTGAGGGGGAGGCTCATGGCGCCTACCTGGGACCAGATCCCAACTGTGAGGGGGAGGCTCATGGCGCCTACCTGGGACCAGATCCCAACTGTGAGGGGGAAGCTCATGGCGCCTACCTGGGACCAGATCCCAACTGTGAGGAGGAAGCTCATGGCGCCTACCTGGGACCAGATCCCAACTGTGAGGAGGAAGCTCATGGCGCCTACCTGGGACCAGATCCCAACTGTGAGGGGGAGGCTCATGGCGCCTACCTGGGACCAGATCCAACTGTGAGGAGAAGGCTCATGGCGCCTACCTGGGACCAGATCCAACTGTGAGGAGGAGGCTCATGGAGCCTACCTGGGACCAGATCCCAACTGTGAGGAGGAGGCTCAGGATCCCGAATAGGCAAGGAAGGGGAATCCAAAGGGAGTGGCGCTAAGAGAAAAAGAATGGAACCCTGAGACCACCTCATGAATGTGGTATCTGGAGAATGTTTTGCGGTTGCTGTTCTGGCCCGAGGTTTGATGCCTAACTATTGACAGGTAGGTAAAAAACCCAGCAACGGAAAAACGAGTAAAGGCGTCAAGTATGAAGAAAGGAAGTGTCGAATCTTATGTGGCTCAGCTGCGATGGCGATGATGTACACCAGCAATGTGAAGTGATTCTATCAAGAGGCTGGCGGGATGATAAATTATACTTGGGTGGTGAGAACAGCACGGGAGAGATTGATCTTTATTCTTGTTAGAAATCTAATGGACACTGATGTAAATTGGGAGGAAGAAAGAAAAGAAACGGCAGCATAAGTATGCTGTTTAGAAATAAAATAAATACCAGAGAAGACATAAAAGAGATGCTACCAGAGGGCTGAGCACTGGGAGGAGGAGGAGCCAAGAAGGGGCCGGAGACTTCATCAGCCTTGTACAACTTTAATATTTGAAGGGTATCATAATATTAAGATACCCATTTTTAAATATTTGCATTTTTAAGAAACATTGTGCAGGCCAAAGCAAAATAATGCAGGAACAGGCCATCAGTTCAGTGTCGGATGTAAGTGATTCAAATTTGGTGCAGTAAATTTGGGAAAGGCAGCAAATCCTTCTGTTAGAGAGTGTGCCGAGGCACAGGACAGCATGGGAATAGAAGGGGAGGCAGGCAGGGCCACCCCCGAGAGGAGAGAAGCACAGCCATGAAAGCAGTGGGCAGTTGGGATTTCATGAAAAAAAAAAAAAAAAAAAAAAAAAAAGATTTGCAGATGGAGGTAGTGAGAAACAAAAGTGCTTAGATGAGGCAGTCAGGGAAATGGGACTTGTTAAGCTCTGGTAGCAACCTAGGTCTTCGAGATGGTGCTCATAAAGGTCACTGGAAAAGTGGAACACGTTTGTATCAAGAGACTCTGAAAAGTTACTTGGTGAAATTCAGTGGCCATTTCTAATTTTTAAAAGCCCTAAATAGTAAAATAATGAGAAACCCTTAACATCACAGAAAATATTTGTTAAAAATAGCAAGTACTAAGCCAGGTACTGTGGTGAGTGCCTGCAGTCCCAGCAATCCAGGAGGCTGAGGCAGGAGGATTGCTTGAGCCCAGAAGCTTGAGTCCAGCCTGGGTGACTGGTGACAGACACCCTGTCTCAAAGAAAAGAAAAGAAAAAAAATAAGAGGAAAGAAAGAGAAATGAGGGAAGGGAGGGAGGAAGAAGGAAGGGAAAGGAAGAAGAAAGAGAAAGAGCAAATATTATTAGACATGTTTAAACACAATTGTACAACTGAGGAGCTAGGTTGGGCACTTGCAATCCATTATTATTCAACAATGTGTCATAAGTTTCAGCTAAAACAGCAGATAAAAGAAAACGAACTGAGGTTTAAATTGGTAAAAAGCAGAGAAAACAGCCTAGAACTGGACTTTTTGTATAGCAACCACTAGCCTCATGTGGCCATTTAAATGAAAGCTAATTAAAATGAAATACAGTTAAAGGTTTGGTTTCTCAGTTGCAACCACCACATTTAAACTCCACCGTGGAACACGGCTGGTAGCTATCACACCGGCACTTCCACTACCATGGGAAATTCTACTGGACAGCACTGTTTAGGTCCAGAGTTAGACAAATGCAATGTAAACCCAGCAAACTTGTCTCACAAATCGAGAAGCAAAAAGAGAAAAGAGCGATGATACCCCTCAGTTTGCACACTGAGGCAGAAGCTCAGAGGAGCCACTTCTCTGGGTCACTGCTCTTCAGCTTAAATGTTCCATATAAATAATCCAAAATACCTATGAATCAATATAAATGAGAAAGTTATTTCACTTATCACCCCAATCTTCATCTTTCAAAACCTGGCAGAGGGGTGGAGAAGGAGCCTTCTCTGATAATCAGCAGCCCTTTATCTGAAGTGATAGCCAGGGCTTGGTGGGCAAGCCTGGCTGAAACAGGACTGCAGTCTGTCTGCTTTGGACATTTCACCTCAATTAGAACACAGCAAGGTGTGTCACCACTAGCACTTAGAATGCATCACCAAAGCCCCGGAACTCAGGCTTGCTGGCTGGGTCACCCTTGGCCTTTGAGGGTCATGCTCCTGACGTGCTGCCTGGAACCTCCAAGGTCAGGGCACTGGGAGTGGAGGAACTCAGGCTGGCAAAGCTGGTGTCCGAACTGCCTGACACCCTGTAGCTGCCCTTCTCACTTCTGATTCTGCTGCTGCTTCCAGTCTTTCCTAAGCACCTAAGTCAGCTTCCTGGAGCCATGTGCTTCCTTTCATATACCAGCTTAGGCTACATTTAGCTAAGTAGTCAGGCAGCAGGTGTGAGGCATCGATTTGTTTGTAAACAGCAAGGTCTCCCAGGGCTACTGTGAGCTCCTCCTATCCCATGCACACCAGCTGCACCCATTGGACATGGGATCTTGTCCCCACCCTGCTCTGTGGCCTTGTGACCTGTGCTGACCACTCAGACTGGCAGGCTCTGCCTCCTTCTGGAAGGTAGTCATCATGGAAGGGTTAGAGCAATGGTGGGAACCCTGCTAGAGAGGCTGCAGGGAGAAGCGAGGCTTAGGCACCTGTGGAGTATAGAGAAGGAACGGCCTGGGCGATGTGGGCAGAACCTTCTGGGCCCACCTCAGAGCCCTGGGAGGGGCCAACTACCAATTTTGAAGCCAAATTTCAGGAAATTTGTGCCATAGCCACACATAACTAACCAGGAGCAAATCTTCCTGGGAAACACACAGCTGGCGGAGCAGTCACATGGGCCCTCTAGGGTGCCCCACACTGGGTTGGCGCTGGCATGGCCAGTGCCCACATGGTGCATTCAGGGAAGCAAGTGGGCAGTGACTGGTGCTCAGTCACAGGGGCCAGTCAGGGCTCTGGAAGCTTCCAGGCAATGAGTAACTGCCAGTGGTGACTTCCTAACTTTTTGCCTGAAAATCAGCTTAGTCTCCCGACAACAACATTCTAGACTAAATGGTTTAGAAAAACTGATCCGGTGATGGTGCAGCCTCCTGACATTTCTGAGGCTTTAGAGTATCTTCAATGGAATACACAGGGTTTGGGAAAGGCTTCAGCTAGAACAGGTTCTTATCAGTATACTGGGAATTCCTCCAGGTGCAGTTCTGAGGAACACAGCAGGAACTCATTTATGTGACACCTTCCAGCCAAACGGGAGAGTGGATCCAGTGGAGAGGAACCTGCAGGAACCTGCAATCCCATCATATCAAAGAGGCTGTCTTCTCTCCAAAGACTCCCTAGGAAGTCCTGGCTCTTACAGATGACATTAAAAGTGTTTTTTTGAATTGTGGATTTGGATTCATTTTCTCATTATTTCAATTTCAATGACATAAACATCAATTAAATATCAAGAGACTCTCATATGACACGCTTCCCTTTATCTAGGAAATGACTTTTACAGATATTCCATTTTGTCCTCCCAGCAGCTCCCTGAATGAGGCGAGAGACCCTGTCCTCACAGTGGGGAGGAGACCAGGTTCATAGAGGGGAGGAAACATGCTCTGAGCCACAGGATGGAGTGTGGGAGCTGGCCGAGCAGGTTGGGCACCTGGGTCACTGCCCTTTCCCTAGAAAGTCACCTGCTGTCCCAAACCTCATGGGACTTGCTTTATCACTAGTGTATACCACACAGGCTTCCAGTGGCTTAATTTCTCCACAATTTTATAATTATAAAAGCACTGGTCATGGAGCCAAAGGGTAGGTGTGTGGGTCCAGGATCCTCTTTAAACCTCTGGCATGAATGGAGATGAACCCCTTTGCATGGCCTGTGAACAGATGGGATAACAGTGAGCATGTCACCCATGGTGCTGCACCACGCAAAGGTAATGGAGGGCATCACGTTGGAGGTGGGGGCTGCACCTGCTCTCCTGAGACATGGACACAGAGAGGTACAACTCCAGTCATCACCTGCATCATGCTTGCTACAGCTTGTGCTCTCTTTGAATGATGGGCAGCTCTGGGAGGTAGTGTCCCAGATCTTCCCGTGTTTCCCCCACATGCTCCTTCCACCTCAGAGTCACCTGCCCCTAACCCACCTGCAACTCCACAGAGAGCGGCAGCTGAGGGTGGGTGGCCTGGGAGGCCTGGCTCATGGGAGGCCATCCTGCTGCTGTCATCAGTGACCACCAAGTGTCAGCAGGACCAAGAGAAGGGGCATGAGGGCTGAAGCTGCTTCATCCCAATAGGGCTGGGGAGCAGCTCGAGGAACCAGCAAGTGGGGAAAGGAAAGCTGAGAAGCGAAGCCTCCCGAGATGGGCCGTTGGCTTAGAGCACAGCTTGCCTCCAATACATTTAGGAGCGAATATTTCCAATCACATCCTCCATTCAAGAAAGCTTGATTTATGTCTCAGGTGACAGCCACAAAACTTCACCCAGAGTCTGGGCAGAGCAGGAAGCCTAGCTGGTTCTCACAGGGAGCTCAGAGGGTTCGGGGCCATCACAGTCATTGAACACTCCTTTCATGGCAAATAGCAGGGGCTGAGGGATGAGCCTCTCTTTTCCGGCAAGGGGCGCTGCTGAAGTCCTTGTGATCACTCTTTCCAAAGGTGGGTGTTTAATACCAGCCACGTGTCTGAGTGTCTGAGTTCTCTGCAATCCTCACCTCTTCTGCTCCAAATCCCGGTAACATCCGGGATTCTTTCTGGAGGCCGCCATGAGGAAAAGGCCCTCAGGAGGTGTTCTGATTGACTGGTGTGATGGAGTGCGCTGCTGGATACCATTTTCTGTGTCTCAAGGAGCTGCAGGTGAAAGCAGTCGGCCCAGTCCATCTCAGGGAACGAGCTTAAAACACGGGCCCAATGCAGCAAGACCAAGGCTGGAGAACAGTGTGCTCAGCATCCCACCTCCCTTGCCTCCTGATTCCACCTCTTCCTTTGCAGTGCTTCCAGATTCAGTGGGTTTCTACTGTGAATAAGGAGATGGAGGGAAAGGAAGAGAGAAACGGAAACATAGTTGCCATTCAACGGCAGGCATGAGCCCAGCTCCGCTGGCCCTTGTCTTCCGGCCCAGACGGAGATGCATGATCAGGTCCAAGTTCTTTTATTATAGCAAGTGACTGTTTTTTCTTACCTTAAGAGAAACCAGAATGATAGCACCTTGTGTACCCTGGTAATTCTTTGTATAAAATCTGCTGTGACCAGAACAGTATGGCTCCCAAGGTCACTTGGCGCCGGTGTGCAGAGCTACTCCTGGCTGCTGTCACCGGCACAGGCTCTGCTGTCCTGAGTGCACAGAACTGAGGCCCAGGTGTGCTGCACAGCACTTTGTGCACTCCTACAGACCCACACCTTCAGAGGAAAATTAGCAGCAAGATCCCACATTTTGGATGTGGACATCTGAGGCTGTGGGAGCAGAGTCAGGTGGAGGCAGGGCAGAGGGTAACCAGACACCCGTCCTGAAATGCAGCCGTGGGTCCCTCCAGGCTTGTGGCAGGACCTCCCTGCCTGATCCTCATCGACTGCACACCTGCCCCCTGCCGGAAGCCCCACTCTTCCCAAACTGCTGTAAGTACGCATGCCCCAGGGGAGAATGTTTTCATTTCTTCAAGATTCTTCATGGTTCCAAGCATACCCCGGGCTGAGGCCCAGCCTTGGAATGTGGGGACTGGAATGGGGTCACTGTGCAGCGTGGTCCCTAGCCATTCATTTAAACAGGCCCCCAGCAATTCTGACGACAGGCTACAGCTCCCCAGGTGGAGATAGGAGATAGGAAGGACAGGGCCCAGACACGTAGGGGTCCCGCCCCACAGCTCCTGGCTGCCCCTGAGCATGCTGCTAACCCTAGGCCTCAGTTTGCTCTTCTGCAGAATGGATATGACACCAGGCAGGAGGTGATCACGAGTACCGCAAGGCAGAGCTGGGTGCATGGGGCCTAGACTTCGAGGCAGTGGCACTCAGAGCTCCTGCAGGACGACACATGGCCTGTGTCTCCAGACTCGGACTCATGCTTGCTGCTCCCCTCTGCACCTTCAGGAGCCCAGACCAGCCTGCTGCACAGGGGGCTGTGGAGGCAGCGGTGTGAAGCAGAGGCCAAGGCAAACCCCTCCCCAATGCTCTGACATGGGGACTTGTTCATCACCAGAAGCCCAAGGGCAGGGGCCACCACCAGTCCCATCTCCCACTGGTGGTGTATAGTGCCTGAGGTGAAGCAGCCAGCGGGTGCCTAGCCTCTCCTCAGCCCCCAGACAGCATCCTCCAGGGTGGGGTTGCGTTGGCTGAAGGGCAGGAGGGCCTGGCCTCGGGAAGCGCAGCCTGGCAAGGCACGCCTATTCAGAGCCATCCAGAGACCCATGAAGACTGGTGGGCGTGGTTGGAAGAAACACCTGTCCCCCTTGGAGAGGGGACAGCATGCTGGGGCTACCCCCAGCTCTGAGCTTGTTTCTGGTGGCATCTCCCATTGTGAGCCCCCGACTTCTGCAAGGGTGCCTCCTGAGCTTCCTGCACCTGCTGGGGGTCCTTGTGGCCTACCTGGGTGGGATGCAGGCAGGGACAGGGAGGACCTCCCACCACAGCTGTGCCTATGTTCTATATTTTGGTCTGGGGTGGTTCATGCCAAACTCATTACCGAACATCCCTGAATGGGAAAAAATGTGGTTTTCTCACTGTATTTGTCATTCTCCTTATCTGTCTCTTAAGTAAGGAGCATCTTCTACCTGGGAGAAAAGCAGGCAAGGGTGCCTGGTGCAGAGGGTCGTCAGGAGGCAGCAAAGCAGGGCTGGATGGCCCCACCTGAAGTGTCACCAAGGAGGAGCTGCCCACTGCACCTGGACCCCTCCCAGGTCACGAAGGCAGGGACAGAGGGGTCACTGCCAAGTCCAGTCACACCATGCTGTCCTGGGCTACCAGGGTTCTTTTACAGGAAACAGCCCAGAACTTTTCATTTCTAAGGTGACAATACACATGCCTCACTTAAATATTTATTTAAGATTCCAAACATTTTTCCAGGTATAAAATTTCAAATTAGGAAGGTGATCTCTGCCTGGGAACATGTTCCAACACAACACAGCACAGGGAGAAGAGTGAAGGCCTTGCATTGGCACCACTGTGTAGTAACAGGCTGGTGTGCAGCCTGGCAGCAGGTGCAGCTGTGCAGGCCCCATCTCTGTGTCCCACTGCACCCTATTTATGCTAGCTAAGAGGCTGGGCCTTGTCGCTTCTCACCTCTGTGGGCAGGTGCCTTTGTCCCTAGTATTTCTGGCCACTCTGTGAAAATGCATTTTCTAACCACCCTAGTCTAAGGTATGAAGACTAGGTTTGGTTTCCTCATTTAACATGTTTAGCTCCAAATTTTAACATTTAAGTTGGTCTTAAACAGGGGCCATCCAGCCAGATTTTGCCATCTCCTAGCCAACCCTCTGCACCAGGCACCCTTGCCTGCTTTTTAAGCTTGGACTTAAAGTTTGCAGCTAAATGTATTAAATAAGCTTTGGGGCAGAAACCTGCATGGGAAGAGGGGAGGTCTCTTCCTCCCATGCCCAGGGCGTGAGGTGCTGGAGGGCAGGGTGGGAGACTGCCCCTGGGGTTGTAGGCCTCCCGCTGACCCGCTCGGGAGACCTGGGTGGTCATCTCCCTCCTTCCAGGCTGCTGTTCTGATTCCTCCTTCCTCATCCTGCTGGGCAGACTCTAACACACTCCGAGGCCAGCTCCTTCTGCACAGAGGTGGCTCCCAGGGCTCCATTTTCCTAGGGGAGGTTGTCCTGCAGGTCCTCTCCCTCCACAGGGGAAGGGGGCAGTCATGGCATTCTGAGAGCAGAGATAACTATCAGGACACCAATTCTAAGTCCAGCAACATCAGGGACTTGCTAGGGAAGAGGACCCTGCCTGCTTAAGACCATAATGAATCTGAGACTCCAGGAGTTCATTTTGACACTGGTATACATGCTTAGGTACATGTGCATGTGATACACAGAAGTTACGTACGATTTCTTTTTACAAAAATAGGATATTATACATATGGAAGTATTCCTTGATTTCCCACTTAATACATCATGAATAGCATGCATATTTTTCATGCTATTCATGTAGAACACCATCATTTTTAATGGCCGTATAATATTCCACAGTACAGTTAAATGCCCCATTTGTAATCATCAATATCCACTATATTTATGATATAAACAAATGGCAATAAAATAATTGTCTGATAGGAAATCTAGTTATTCAGTATTTAATAAGGGCCAAAAATGCTTGAACTTCCATCCTATCACTTTAAAAGGAATTATGGTTCTTTCCCAATCAATGAGGAAAAGCCCTTCTTTACTGCAAATGCTAATTAATAATGTGTGGAGAATAATTAAAATTTGAGAAGTCAACATGGTTAACCTCCAAAGACAACTGATTGGGTACCAAACATTGACATACACTAAAGCTAAGACATGAAGAGTTGTTGAACCAGAGCTCACACCACTGTGCTAGCAGCCTCACAGGTGACTCGCCAGCCCCGTTTTAACTCCCTGTGAAGGGAAAGAGAATGCTTCTCTGTATGGAGTTCTGGAGGTCACTTCCTAACCATGTGACAAAGAACATAACAGGAGGTCAAGGGCACGACGGGCAGCAGGATGGTGTGCTGGGAGATGCACCAGCAGGCTCAGAGCCTCCCCAGATGTCTTCCTCCCAAAAGCCTTGGACCTGAATCTAATCAAGCCTTTAGCACTAAATTCTAGTTCAAAAGAACCACAGAGAACAGAGGAAGAATTCGACACCAAAAGCAAATGCTGTGACAGAATGTGGGCTGGTTAGGGGACAGACCTGCCTGTTAAAATGCCTTCATTGTCAGGAGGCTCAGTCTTGGACCTCTAAGAGCCACAGGCCTGTAGCTGCACTCACACTGTTCCCCAAAATATGCCCTCTAGAATCTGTAAACACAGTCTGAGCAAATGCAGCAAAATGCTGCTGAATCCAGGTTGTGGAATGCGAGAGTATTCCACATATCCTTCCAACACCACGATTATAAAAGCTTTCAAACATTTATAAAGAAAACAGCATTTCCATGGTGGAAAACTGCTCATTAAGGTGAGACTGAAGACCAGGGTTCCTTTACCTGCAGAGTTCTGCCTGGCCCTGGAAAAGCAGGAGCTCATGGAATCCTGAGTCCTTGAGTGAGCAAGGCACCTGGGGAGGCTGTGATGGGAAGCTGCTGGCTCACCCAGCAGAGCTAGCTGGCTGCCTCCCAGGGGGACCCTGAGGTCATGCACCAAAGGCTACACAAACAGAACTGAGGCAGTGCCTGGCTGGTGGCAGAGATGAGGCTGCAAGGGGTGAGTGTGCTCCCATCAGAATCTCTCTTTGGGGTCTAGAAGTCATCTCCTGAGCCACCTGCTCCCCAGGGAAGAGACTGAACTGGATAAAAATAGGCCCAACAACAAAGCAGAGTGGACGCTCTCACCTCATTTTCTGCCACGGGGTGGGTCTGGAGGGTGCTGGCAGTGTTTCTGAGTCCCTGCCACTAACGGGAAAGCACAGGGTCACGTACAGGTGCAGAGCACACCTGTGGGCTGTTGTGTCTTCTCCGGAAAAACAACTGCTGAGCAAGGAGGTTTCCATATGAGCTCTAAAATGCAGATGTAACAGTTTCTAGAAAAACCAATTATTTTCATTTTGCCCATCAAAGCCATTGATCGTTTGTGACTATTATCAGTTTAAAGGACTAACAGCTTGATAGAGTGATTAACTGGTTGAACTGGGAAAATCTTTTTTTTTTTAACTTTTAATTAGGTTCTAGGGTACATATGCAGATTTGTTACATAGGTAAACTCATGTCATGGGAGTTTGTTGTACAGACTATTTCATCGCCCAGGTATTAAACCTAGTATTCAATAGTTATCTTTTCTGCTCCTTTCCCTCCAACTGGGGGAAGACCCCAGTGTTGGCCAGGTATGGTGGCTCATGCCTGTAATTCCAGGA